CCTCTCTCTCTCTCTATCTATCTGCTCTCTCTCTCTCTCTCTCTCTCTCTCTCTCTCTCTCTCTCTCTCTCTCTCTCTCTCTCTCTCTCTCTCTCTCTCTCTCTCTCTCTCTCTCTCTCTCTCTCTCTCTCTCTCTCTCTCTCTCTCTCTCTCTCTCTCTCTCTCTCTCTCTCTCTATCTGCTCTCTCTCTCTCTCTCTCTCTCTCTCTCTCTCTCTTTGCCTTTCTCTCTCACTCTCTCTGTACCCCAACCCCCTACCCCTTCATCGCTCAATTTAAGAAAAAATACGATATATACTTGTAGGTGTTCGATTCCCTTCCTCTCGTCCCAAATTTTATGTCACCTGCGACTGTGAGACCCAGGTATACGTGGACCAAACCTGTGAAAACAATGGTCAAATAAACAGCCTCACTCCGTTTCCTCTAACTCTTGACCGTGTACGACAACCCAACTAACTATGAATCGTAAATAACATGATTCAAATAAGTTTGAAAATCCTAAGGTGCTACGTTTAGGTTAACGGCCTACTATTGGCTAATTCCACACTGCTCGTCATCTGGCTATTTTATCTGCGTTGTGATTGGAAAGCAAAAATGTGATATTTACTCAGTAGAAGAAACGAGGAATGAGGCTACGGGTATACAGCAGGCCTCTATTTTGCCGGCGATTTTTTTTTTTTTTTTTTTTTTTTTTGTGGGGGGGGGGTTAATCTAGTTTTCATTGTCTTCGATTTTTCCCCTTTTCCACCTTCTCTCTTGCGCTAACTACATCCCAGCTGTAACTTTAAATGCACGACGCGGCTGATGGCATGCGGCGTTGGTTTTACAGCTACAACATCACAAAATCAGTCAAGTTTGATAAGAATGTTTGCTCCAAGTCAAGAAGCACGCTGTTTGTTTAAATGCTTCGGTTAGGCGAAGTAGGTTATGTGGAATTATGTTGCGGTTAGTAGTGTTTACCAATGTCCCGGGAGACAGAGTGTCCGTTTATCTCAGGTGAAAATACGTAACCCTCAACGTATCACACACATAAATTCACGTGGATAAAGTTTAAACATTCCATTTGAGTAGACCTGACAAATCCACTATGTGGGTCGTGTACATGTAAAACGAATGGATATTCAGATATTTTCGCCTGTCGAATGTTTGGCATTTGTGAGGGATAAACGACATGTACAGGTAGAAGAAGGAAGCGGTCTGACCTTCCGCGGGGCAAGGTCCACAAGACCAGTGGCAGTTTAGAAAAGGAACTTGGGTTTTCGTCTCTGCTTTAACATGTCAAACATCACTAAATGTCTCTCTTTCTCTCATAATCAACCAACATTTGACAATATCAGGCTATAGTTTATGGACAAGACGAGAGCCAATTAAGATATGTAGTTGCTGCATGCATAAAATATTTAAAGTTAAAGTCATAATAACTCTTCGTTTTGGCAAAAAATTGGATTTTCCTGGAGTAAACGGCAGTTTTCCCGTACTTACCAATGGTCAACGACCCCATTCCTGCATTCAAAGTTAGTCTAGGTTTTTTTTTCTAAACGTTTTTTTTTTTTTTTGTTAAAATCTCTTAAGAGATTTTAACTGAAGGAGCCATCTCTGACATTGCATAGTCACACGATATCGAGCGATAGTCTCTGGTGCCCTACTTAAAACTGCGGGAAAAGCAGACACCAACAACACTATATAACAATAATATAAGATTCATAAGATATATTCGTCTTATTGCTCAAAATGCATTTATATCTACGATGTGTGCAGTTCTGGGCTTTTCGTTATCCGACGCACTGTACAAAAACTCGCAACTTACGTCTGCGTATTGTATCAGGCGATTGGCGCCAGATGTTATTTTGGTCTCGAATGAACGTGAGAATACGCGTGACACCCCAACGTCATTGGCAACGGATGCCTTTACGACCGGGAAGAAAGGCATCGAAAGCCCTATTGACAAGCACAGATTTTAGTTTTACTACAATAACGGCCGTTTTAGTGGTAAATGCAATAGAATATATTTCCATGCGTTGTTTACAATGTATTTCTTGCGGAATTTTGAATCTCAAAGGAAGAGTTATTATTGCTTTAACTGACTGTAAAAAAATGCCAGGAATACCTCTATCGAATGTACTTTTGGCAAGGGAGTTCATTAAGACTGCCGGTAATGTAAGTTTGTAATTGAAAAAAAAAATATATTTTAATTTAGCAGTATAAAATGACTGATACACGTGTGAGCGCTGTGTAAGTCTTTATAATCGCAAGTTTCACGGGATCGTGATATCCATATTAAAGGTCTGATTCCCATTTTAACCGTATTTGTAACACGATTGTATATAAATATAAAACTACAAGTATCTAGCACGTTCTCATGAAAATACTCAACTATATCTCCAACCCCCTTCATACACGCATTGATACAAATTCCACATCAGTTAGGCAAGATACAAAGTCACTGTTGCTCTTTTGCATCATATAAGATTATTTATTTATGCATGAAAAAATAAATCATAAAAAGATATAATCCGTGAAAGTAATCACGGAGCAATCGGAAACGTCTTTATTCTAAAACAAACGCATGGCAGTATACTGTGCACGAACACAGTACAACATATCTGTTGATTCACACATGTACTCTTGGCAACATTCACCTCACAAAAGCACCACTGCCGGATCCATTATCGCCCAGGGGGTCGGGTGGGGGCAAGGGTCACATATAAACTAGTAGCTGAGGGAATGGAATTTAAGAGTTTCCTGTCGGGCTCTGGGGTGGGAAATTGCTTGATTCTCATTACATTTTTGGGCAGTTGTTTGGAAGGGAGGAAGAGAAACTTGAGCTGAAGGGGGAGGGGTTCCATTGTAACGTTTGCTTGTGATTACATGAGCTCTAATGGCAGCCCCCAGGTGGCTATGAGTTGTCTGCAGTTTTCTAATCCTGCTCCTCTACTAGACTAACTGCTGATCTGATGGTCTAAAGACACAATTGAGGACTTTGAATTAGAATGACGGAGATGTGTTGAAAGAGCTTCAGGTAAATAAAAACGGCTCACCCCCAGTACGAGCCGTTTTGTGCGTCAAAATGGTGCGCTTAAGTTTTCTTCCTTTTTGTAGCCAAAACAATCCTCCGGTGTGTTTATTTTCTCAACTGTTTTAAAGTCTAAATATAAAGAATTCAAAGATACAAATATATTCTGTTCAAGAGTTCATCTTGTAAGAGATTGTCCGTGGATCATGATTTCAAAGATATCGACAAAGATATCTTATCTCTAGGTCTGGGCACACCGGGGGGTCTCCTTCCCTCCAATTAACCTCGTTTTCGGCGTTCCTGCAGACGATCCCGTAGACAGAGCAGGGTAGAAAGTACTGGTAGCCGCTGGCGTCCCAGGGTTGTTGAGTTTGCACTACGCGGCACTCGGCAATAATTGGCTCAGATAGGAATGCAGCAGTGGCACACTGGAAGTGAACGGTAATTAAGCAATTAAAATGCAAGATGAGTATTCTAAATAAGTTGAGTATTATCTTACAGTTTATATCCAATGCATCTGCCAGTTGTTACATGTACTTTGAACTATTAAGGCAAAACTTTTAACACTTAAATCATCCTACCTGCCAATAAATATTACATTTGTAAAAACAGACGGGTGTAAGAGAGCCTGTGTGTAGATACAAATGTAAATACAGAATGCGAAAAGCTAGAACTAAATTTAATGGAGCAAAACATATAATTAGACTGTTAGACTGGTTATTTTTATAAACCTAACGCCCTTTGTTCATTCAGTCGATTTTACGCTGGCATCTTAAAGAACAATGTTTTAATGAGATTTATAAAAATAAGACATATTATGATTTCTATATGTATATACAGCCTACTTTCCGAGGGGACTCTTTTTAGAAGAAGTTCTCATATCGAACAATGCCTATAAAACCTGCGTAGTGTCACATTTGAGTAGACGACCTTTGACATACCGGCGTCTCGTCCACCTCCCAGTCCCCGTCCTTAGAGGGGTCATCCTTGTCCATCCACTCCGTCCAGTACTGACCTGAGGGGAGAAAGTTAACTATGTGCACATGGCGTCATAGTTCAATACTTAGGGTGCATTTACAGCCAAAGTTGAACCTACTTGAAAGCTTTCCCCTCCCCCTTATAATCAATTATTTACCATGTCCACACAAGAGACAACGAAAAGTCTATTTTACCGACTATTAAAGCACTACGAGGCAACGTATTTTACGCACAGCGAAAGCCACAACACGGTCCACGCTTCTCCACGGTACTTCCGGTACACACACTTCCGACTGGCAGACATTCTCGTGTCCTTGATTGGTTACCCCCCGCGCACGTGGCGTCACACTCGGGCTGGTCCGGCCACTCTCGGGAGTCGGAACCTAGAATAAACAGGTCATATATTAGCATTACCAATCTGAGTGTGTGATGGGCCACTAAATTAAATTCGCCTGATTTTAGGAATCTAAAACGGAATTTGCATTTTTTACATAACTTTGTTTATAAGATTAAAAGGATTGTGCACAAATACCAATGGTGTGAAAACTATAAGATGTGTATAATTCCTAAAACCGGCCTTTATAATCTCCCCTTGTCTTCCTTCCCATGGCTAACCCCAGTCCTTGTATAAATGGGTTTGCACTTTAATAACGTTATTCAGTCTCTTTACAGTGGATTCATAATATGTCTGATCACGTAACTCACTGACCATGGGAAGCATTTTAAAAGCGAAAATTGTATTTATCAAAATATCAACAGGCAATCACATCCCTGATGAATTAACAGTTAAATGAAAAATGGTTAGCCGTGAACAAATTTTCAAAATTAGACAAGCAAGTAGCAATCAAGCAAAAAATCGACATCTTAACCACAGGAGAGATAACGCCCTGCATGTATCCGTTTGAAAACTAAGAAATACATATACAAAAAAATAGATTATTTTAACATGGGACATTGCTTTTACACAGTTAAGACACACACGCACACAAACTTACATAGATCTGTGTCATATGTAGCCACCCCATGGTTCACTACGGTGACGTTATTCCATGCTATGACGTTTCCCCCGATTGTGTCGTCACAGTTAGCCGCGGCATTGATGTTAACGTCAATGTGGTCCCACACATTAACACTGCTCAAATGGCCCAGAAATGATTGCTCGGCTTGAAACCCTCCCCCAACGTTATCTTGGTCCTGTCCAACTAGCCACACTCCATCTGAAACAATTAAGGCGCGTTTTCTTTAACCCTCCTTTTATGGATACAATTTTGCATCATATTATGTGATAATTAAATATATATTAGTGTTTTTTGGTGAAAAGCACTCATAAAATGTGTCACGGTAAACAATTTCTGATTGCAAAAACGTAATCGATACAATCAATCTTATTAAATTTTATTAAGTACTATAATTGCTTCAGAAAGCAATGAAAGCAGTTCTTTATTCACAGGCTTAAACTTCTTTATTTTTAATTCTGTCTGTATCTCTTAGATTTTTTTTAAATATATATATGTATTTTGGTTTTTAATGATTTTGGTATATTAGCCATTATTGTAAGGCGCCTTGAGATAGAATGTAAGGCGCCATATAAGAATCTTATTATCATTATTATTATTATTATCAATGGTAAATGGCCCGTACCAGCTGGCATAGTTTTATATCTCACAAAACCAGAGCCTGAAGCCTTTCTCTCGCCATCCACGTACAGCGCCCACCTTCCTCCACGTCTCTTCCATGTAAAACACCAATGGTGCCAGACACCATCAAAGATCTGATAGCCTGGGACAGGGATGATTTTTCTTTCACCGTTAACATAGACACCAATGGTTCCCTCTGAATGATACTCAAACAAGAAGGTGTTATCGTACTCAGGTGTGGCGTAAGACAGGATACACGTGGTTCCCGAGGTGAGGGTGGTCTTGATTCTCAAACAAGCAGTGATGGCAGACATCAGAACTTTCTCTGGTCTCAGCTGAAGGTATCTCCGAGTGCTCTGAGGCGGTGACCAATACGCCACTGATGTCTTCTCTGGAAATATGTTTGTAACAGTTGTTGTTCATAAATCTACAACCTTAAAAAATAAAAAAATAAAAAAAGTAATAATAAATAAATAAAACAGCTGTATGTAATTATTTGCATTGGATTGGAAAAGTTGTTATAATCGTTTGCACATAAATGAGTATTATTTAAAAGGCGTGTGGATCTGTAGGGGAGCGCCGCAAACGTAAATGAAAGGAATAAAGTAGGATATAAGGAGTTAAAGATCTAGAGATGTGGTTATAAGATTAGAATGTTTCAGGAGGTGTGTCTGGTATGTTAAGGACAAGAAAAGATAACACACTTATTTTGTGCATGAGCAGTATGTATTGTTATGAATAAAACTGTAATCAACTGTTTTGCTCCATCATTCTTACCAACTCCTCACATCGTCACCAAACTTTTCACAGACAACGCATGAACCTAAAACAGTCATTAAAAAAATTACTTTTCTGCTTCATGGTTAGACATTCGCGGCTCCTTTTCTGGTTGCTATCATCACACGTGACCTCACAATCCGACCAGTCTGACCACTCACTAAGGTAGGAACCTAGAACGAGAAGATATTCCAAAGATTTTTTGTGACCATCAATTTAGTCAACCTTATATAGGTAAATCATAGAACTCGTATATTCTAGTTTGTATTAGTGATTTAAACACTTCAAAGGAATACATGGAATACGAGCAAGCATATATGGAGGTGAAACAAAGGACTCCAAATAAAATTATGCATTAATTTAGAGGTGTTTGACTCATTCATGTATAGAAATCATATTCGGATGTACCACGATGGGACCTAAAAAAAAGTACGTTTTAAAAATGTACTGATATAAATATTATATTTAAGACTTAAGAGGAACTGGGTAAAAAAAAAAAAAAAAAAAAAGAAAAAAAAAATATATATATATATAAGACACTTCGTTCTCTTTCTCTTTTACTCACATAGATCGGCTTGATGTGTTGTCACCTGGTGGGTTTTCTTTGTGACGTCATCCCATGCTATGACGTTTCCCCTGATTGTGTCGTCACAGTTCGGTGCCTCAGTGAGATTAAGGGAGTCGTGATTCCATACATTGATACTGGTCATGTCTCCTATAAATGACTGAAAGACTTGGAATCCGCCCCCAACTGTGTCTTGATCTTGCCCAACAATCCACACTCCATCTGAAAGAAGAGATGATCTGATTTATACTATGCGTGTCGATGAAATTATTTACATCTGACCGCTGATTAATTTTAATTGAATTTACTGCATATATATTTCTTAAACATGAGATGCTTACCAGAAAATGAAAACCAAAATTATTTTGAACCATTTACCGAACGATGTGTTTCGTATTGTGAAACGCCATTGGCTTAAATACCGTCCAGTTTTTGTTGTTTTTTCCAAATGTTTGTAAATAACCTTAAAAATCCCCGGTGAAAACTAGTAGCTTCTTTTAAAAGCGATTAAAAATTATTTGAAATGAACGCTAATCACTCATCACAGCATAGTTTTATAAGGATTAAGAAACCCTGACCAAGCCGCTTTCATTTATCACTCAATAAACTGCTTAAATCAAAGGATGTTTATAAGAACTCACTGGCTGGTATGGTCCTATAATTCATAAAACGAGTGCCTGATGATATCCGTCTGCCGTCCATATAAAGCGCCCATTCACCGCCACGCTTGTTCCAAGTAAAGCACCAGTGGTGCCACGTGCCATCAAAGATCTGATATCCTGGAACTGGTATATATTCCTTAGCATCACTCACGAGGGCGATAAAAGATCCTGCCATGTCGTACCCGAACAAGAGGGAGTTTTTATACGAAATATACGAGAGGACGTATATTTCCCCCTTGGCGAGCGTGGTCTTCATTCTAAAGCAGACTGTTACGGCAGTCATACTTGGTGTGGTTGGCGTGAGTTCCACGTACTTGCGGGTGCTCTGGGGAGCTGTCCAACGGATCACAGAGGCCCTCCCTGGAAACCAAAATCGCTGGGATGTGATGGATCTTCATACATGTTCGGTTTTCAAGGGCAAACATATGATTACATTAAATTCACAGTACAGTACAGTGTAATATGTAATTAATAAACATGCCAAATGTCCAAATGGATATGAATAATTTCACTTCTTCGTACAAAATGATTAAATGGATAGTGTAAAATAATCAGTTGCAGGAAACCAACAAGCGACCACAATTAATTTTCATTATTTTTTTTTTCACTCGTAAGATCGTGAGGCCTATCAAAACAAATATACACTGTCTTGAATATGAGCAACAACGCAATTAAATTACTTTGCTTTGTCACAGCCAAACGCTCCTCAACGGTGCTTCCTACACACCCACTTCCAGATGGTAGGCACTCCCGTGTCCTTCTTTGGTTTCCCTCACCGCACGTGGCGTCGCAGTCTGTCCACTCGCTCCACATAGTTAAATATGGACCTGACATGAGCAAGAGGAACATAAATGATATCAATAAGATCCCGCTCTCATACTAGATCGATCTAGCAGGATCGATTCATCTCCCAGTTTTTTTTTTCCAAAGTAAATTGCTTTTAGCTTAAGCAGCTTTAATGTCTGGCACGCCTACTGAAGCTGCTAAACGATAAATGATTACCCCCTAGCAGCTTCAGTAGGCGTGCCAGTCATCTAAGTTGAAATAAATTTTGCGAGAAACCCCTTGGATATGAATTGCTCCACTGGTAGGGTCTGGGAATGGTCCCTAATTGTTTACAATGACAGTTCCATCTAAATATCCTCGGTTGGATTAATATTATTTTCAAATCCAATAACAAAAAATTTATTTACGAACGCGTACAAATAAAATAATACCCTCACATAATCGAGATGTAACTTCATCTTACAATAAATGTTGTGCACTTTAAGTATTTTACGTCTAATTGACCAATGTGAAAATGATTAAAATTTATAGGCCCTACAAAAGTTTATTCAATTATATATTGGTTTATATAGAGATAGAAATAACCAAAGCCTTTCACGCACATGGTCCACGCTTCTCAACAGTACTTCCGGTACACACCGCTCCAGATGGCAAACATTCTCGAGTCCTTGTTTGGTTGACTTCGGAGCACGGGACGTCACAAGCGGAGCCCGTCAAGTAATTACTTGTGTCGGGACCTAAATACAAGCCAGACCAACAATAACGGATATTCATTGTAGAGATATTAAAATAATAGATAAGCAGGACGGTACATATGTTGGAAAGACTGAAACGTAAAACGGCAATAGAACTGAGATGCGATATAAGATATCGAGGAGCACGAACAAGCATACGAACACACACACACACACACACACACACACACATATATGCTTCTGAACTAAAAAATATTGGCCTTAATTTCTGAATGTTATTATATTATCGACAAAGATTATTGTCTCCCCACCATCCACCTTTCTCTCATACTCACACAGATCTGCTGTATACTTCAATACTCCAGAGCTCTTTTTGGCCACGGTCTCCCATGCTATGACGTTTCCTCTGATGGTGTCGTCACAGTTTGCCGCGGCGGTGACGTCGACAGAGTCTTGGTTCCACACATTGACACTGGATATGTCGCCCAAAAAGGACTGATGTGCCTGAAATCCGCCTCCGATATGATCCTGGTCCTGTCCTAGTATCCAGGCGCCATCTGAAGCAAGACACACAAGACATATTTGCTTTATTTCTTCATAAATCTCCGGATTTTATTTATTTGAAAGCTTAATAAATGTAAGTGACTTTTATTGAAAATTTAAAAAAAAAAACGTCATACAACTATACAAAATTATATTAAAATCAGAATGTAACTCCTATACGGTATGTTGCACATAGCAAACTCTGATTCTATACATAAAAAACAACTGACTGAAGGCCTTTCATGTGTTAGACTTTCCAATAAACTACCACTTTTCGATGTGATCAGCTCTTACTAGCATCGATGACATTATTCCTCATAAAACCAGAACCGGATGCTTTTTGGTTGCCGTCAACGAACACCGCCCATTTCCCACCGTTTTGGCTCCAACTAATACACCAGTGGTGCCAATTGCCATCGAAAATCCGGTAACCCTCTACAGTTTTAACTCTCCTTTGACCATTGATGTAGAAGAAAAGTGTTCCTGCTGTATTGTATCCAAATAGGAAGGCATTATCGTGCGCAGGGGTAGCGTACGACAGGATGCCCGTTTCAATGCGTGGCATGAGCGTGGTTTTAACTCTCAAGCAGGCTGTGATGGCAGACATGGGAACTTTCTCAGGTCTAAGCTGGACGTATTTACGCGTAGTCTGAGGCGCCGGCCAATGAACCACCAATGCCCTCTCTGGAAATAGTATGTGCCTTTTGTATTAACCGTCTTCAGAGTTAAAGACAGACGAAACTGAATGAAATTCGGAGCAGAACATACTTAACTGGACAACTGCGACAAAAGAGCATGTGTGGAACTTTTTAAAGTTTTCAAGTCGTTTACAGTATAACGGTTCCAGTTCAGGTATATAAGCGACGACACTGAAAATTAACTAAATTTGTTCGATTCAGATGGATTCCAAAATTATTGAACTATACGACACAGGTATTGTCATTGAATCTGATTTACAACACTAGGAGTTAACTGTCGCCCCTACCCACAATCAAAGTTTACTGGAATTCACACATTGATTTCACGGGCTTCCACACTTGTGCAATGTTATTGCCTATACTTAATTCTAAAAACAGACTAAAATGGCACTGTGGCAAACCAATCACACACAAATTCAAGATTACTTTGTTTGCTCATATCCATGCACTCTCGACTCCTTTGGTTGTCATGGCCGCATCTGACGTCACAATCCGACCAATCTGACCACTCACTCAAGTAGGAACCTAAAATGTACAGGAATTGAAAGATGTGTTTCACCTTTAATGCTTTATTATGTGTTTATTTATTTAGGGAATGTGTACAGAAAATCGATAAGAAGAAAAAGCGAAAGCAAGTATCACACTAGACATCATTTTGAGCAATTTTGTGACAATATTCCAACTTATTCAATGTTTACAAATTCAAAAATAACCCAGAAATGAAAATCACAGTTACAATTGACAAACATCTGTCTTTGTATAACCGTGGAAGTCTTATAGGCTTGTCCTGTCGGTACCCGCACGAAAATGAAGTAGATACTCCAGCGCAGTAGACTACTGCAATTATACTGCGAACATGCTTCAAATCTGCTTCGATGTGGGAGCTAATTAGCATATTTGAAACATGCTTCTATCATGCTGCTAATCTACTGCATTTATGCTCCTCCTCTGTACAATCCTATGTAATTTTTGAAGTAGAATTGCAGTAGGCTATACTGCATTTCTACTGCAAATATGCTCCACACCACTACTGCGTTACTGTTTCTTTGCTACTTCGATACTACTGCATTTTCTTGCGGGTAGCATCAGAACAGTGATCATAAACCACGATGAAAATTTAATAAGAGTGTGCCATTGGAAATACTTATTTTCATTTTCAATATTGTTAATATATTATAAACCGTTTCTATAAAAACATATTTCCCATGAGGCATGACAGTCAGTAACTCATTCAAAGAGCCTGGGTGACATCAATGAAACGTCCTGTTTCACAAAAAAACAAGCATATTCTCTTTACAAGCGATCACCAATGCTTAAAATAATGTGACATAATATTTTATTTTAAGTCAACGTTGTTTTTTTGGAGTCTCATCTCTCTCACTCCCTTTAAATTTCTTATATACTCACATAGATCTTCTTCATGTGTTGTCACTTGGTGGGTTTTCTTTGTGACGTCATCCCATGCTATGACGTTTCCCCTGATTGTGTCGTCACAGTTTGGTGCCTCAGTGAGATTAAGGGAGTCGTGATTCCACACATTGATACTGGTCAAGTCTCCGATAAATGACTGAAAGACTTGAAATCCGCCCCCAACAGTGTCTTGATCTTGTCCAACTATCCACACTCCACCTATAAGAAGACATTTGAACCTTATGCTTTCTAGAAAATCATTCGCATCTTTAATTAATGTCTTGTTGTTTTCAATCGAGTATGATATCGGTGAACGTGAAATGTTTGTATGAAAATGAAACAATCGACTGAAATAGACAAACATTAAACAATTTGATTCATAATGTGAAATTTGCGACAGAAATAAAATATTAAGATATAACATTTGTGTTCACACTAGCTGAAAAGTTAATCTATAGTTATAGGTACTCACTGGAAGGTACAGTCCTATAATTCATAAAACCAGCGCCCGATGATATCCGTCTGCCGTCCATGTAAAGTGCCCATTTACCGCCATTTTTGTTCCAAGTATAACACCAGTGGTGCCACGTGCCATCAAAGATTTCATAGCCTGGGACAGGTATGTATTTCTTAACATTATTCACGAGGGCGATAAAAGATCCCGCCATGTCGTACCCGAACAAGAGGGCGTTTTTATGCGAAGTTGTGGCGTACGAGAGGACGTATATTTCCCCCTTGGCGAGCGTGGTCTTCATTCTGAAGCAGACCGTTACCGCAGTCATACTTGGTGTGGTTGGCGTTAGTTCCACGTACTTGCTAATACTCTGGGGTGCTGTCCAACGGATCACTGAGGCCCTTCCTGGAAATATTGCTTTTTGGTTAGCCTATATATGTGCAAATATTTAAAATATAAAGAAGGCAGCTGAATTTTTTAATAAAGTGCAATATCCGGTATAAAAATATACACGCAGATATTCAGGATAAAAATGTGAATTTGTTTATTGTCAATAAAGTACAATAACCAGCTGATTAGCATTACCAAAGATCTGCACTTGTCGAGACATAATTCATAAAATACATCAGGAATGATGACTGCCATAATGCTAGAATAAAAACATGTAAGTTATTTGGAAGATTCGTTTAGGCATCAGATGCATTCTGAATGGCTGTGTAAGGTTAAGGGTGCAGAGGAAATCATTTACAAGAAACAAATGGTGTTCCAAAATTATACAAGGCAATAACGACTTTACTGGGGGGGGGGGGGGGGTTGTATCTTCAGAAATGTACATAATGAAAAAACAATTACAATATTATTACTGTACCTTTTTTCAAAGTATCATCTTATTAAAAAATAAGTTGATCAATGACTTAAAATTTAAATTACTTTGTTTTGTCACAGCTAAACGCTTCTCAACGGTACTTCCGGTACACAGACTTCCGGTTGGCAAACATTTTCGAGTTCTTATTTGGTTGCCTTCGCCGCACGTGGCATTGCAGTCTACCCAATTCGTCCACTCAGTTAAGAAGGGACCTAAAATAAGTAATTAAATAATTTAAGTTTGATATATATTCAAGTAAGCCTGTAGTCTATATAACTTACTATAAAAGACAGTACCGGTAGAACCTCGTTACCTTTGTTCTTAACAAGTAAAAAAAAATGTAAGATGCTAAGAGACATATGAAGTATGAATATTGGATTACATGTAATGACAATATGTGACCCATCTCTGTATTTTGATTTAATCTGCATTTAACGGGAAATATCACTAAGTAAGCTTGAACGCAGAGCAGTCATAGGCTACAGCTAACGGTAAAATGTATACATATACAAGTTTTTACCCTTAACCAAGGGACGAATAGCATCGCGATGGATAATTGATAAGAAGAGTTAGTTGCTGTTATATTTGCGTCTGGGACGGTAAACTTGTAATTGAAAATATTTCACGTCTCTCTCTCTCTCTCAGCTATATTTACATAAATCTGTGTTATAGGTGTAGACTCCGTGTCTCTCTTTGACAACAGTTTCCCACGCTAATACGTTTCCCCTGAGCGTGTCGTTACAGTCAGCGGCGGCAGTGATGTTCACGTTGACGTGGTCCCACACGTTAATACTGGATAGGTCGCCTACATACGACCGTCCGGCGCGAAATTCGCCTTCCATCGAGTCCTGGTCTTGTCCTAGTAGCCACTCTCCATCTGGAAAAAAACAGTTTTTAATTTAGATTTTCCGGTATTGAGTAGTCTTTTGACATTTAAATTTATTGGTAAATGCAATGTTTTATCAATGGAGACTTATTAATTTACCGCAATGATTTAAAACTATGGCACTCACTGGGGTTTTCTGCCGAAAGACAAGTACTGAACCAACAACATAATGTTTCCTTTTCCTGTTCAAAAGTGTCCATCTATACGCTGTAGTCACGAGCACTCACCATGTACTATTGACCTAAGATTCATAAATCCAGATCCGTTGGCTCTTTGTTTGCCGTCCAGATACAGCGCCCACTTGCCACCTTGCTGCTCCCATGTGAAACACCAGTGGTGCCAAGTTCCATCAAATATCATATAGCCCCCTAGAGGTATGTATTGTTTGGCATTATTTATATGAAATACGAAGGACCCGGCCAAGTTGTAGCCCAACATGAAGGAGTTGTCGTATGAGTACGTGGCGTGCGAAAGGAAATATCTTTCTCCCGTGGAGACTGTTGTCTTTAATCTCACGCAGGCGGTAATGGCGGGCAATACTGGCCTATACCGATACACTGGTGGTGTGAGTTTAACATATCTGTCAGTGCTCTGGGACGCTGGAAAACGCAGGACAGTGGCTCCTCCTGAAAATGTATTTTGTAGTGCATTTCTATTGGCTATTGTAAGATTCCTAAGTCAAAAGAGGTCTTTTGTTTCTTATCCATACATAGTAAATGATTTGAACAATAAGAATTGAAGTCAAAACCAAATAAGGTGCACAGACTGTGCAAAAATTTAACATTTAATAGAGACAGCTGGGATTACAGGTAGAAACAATTTAGCCTGGTGGGAGGTGAAGTGCAGGTAACAAATATCACTCCGCTTCGTCCTCGCGTGTGTGTCATTCGCCTCACTAACTCGTGATATATTTTTCATTTAAACTAAGCTTACGTTTGTATACAGGGGTGATAAGATGAATATGCCAACTTACTGTGACATTCCTCATCCTTTGTACACTGACATATCCTACTGTTGTTACCAATGTACAGACACAATTCCTTGCAGCCCCCGTTATTTGAACCGCAGATGTTGTCACCTACAACAGGGAACAAAATCCCATTAGCGTTAAAGAGAAAGCTAGAGGCGATTCAAGAGAGGATGACGGAATGGTCAAAAAGTTGCAATTGACAGATGGTTGAAAAATGAAGTGCCAAAACAAGTGCAGCCGTTTGATGTGGCTGCAATATTTCCCTCTAAAGATCACCAATGCGACTGAATGTATGTTTATCATTAATAACGTGCACTTAAAAGCAAGCATATGGAATCATAAAATAAGGGAATAGTATGAGCTTAGATTATTAATATTTGTCATAGATAGGTCAATTTAGCTAGGGCCTATAGTAAAAAATAACATCAAAAATGTGTCACTCTTTTTGAAAGAATTCAGTTCGTTTCTTGTACAGAGGGACTTTATAATTCTATTTCTTAAAATACCTGTCTGTCTGTCTTCGTCATGCACTTTTATATCATGTGGTCTCGGGGTCTTTGAGTCCGTGTTTCTCCACATGATAACTGGGTCTGTGCCATTTTTGAATGCTCTCATTACAACTCCATAGGGGGCGCTAGGTGGGCTACGCGGCCAAGATTACAAATATAAATTACAATTTCACGTGCAACAGATAAAAGAGTTACAAATGGAATTTTTTTTTTTTTTATCTTATTCTATTAGGTATGTATTGTGCTGCACACAACACTGATTTAGGGACTCTGACAGATGGTTTCTTCATATGTATGTGCACACCATTGTCCTTGACGATTATGTTAATCAAACAAAAGACGAAACATATTCATGTGTAAAATGACTGTACTACTAATCTACATGAAGTGGTAGACAAATGTTACTTACTTATTCATTCTTTATCAATTTATTTATACAATTCAGGTATATCATGCTAACATTATGTCTTCTATACAACATTCCCTGTACCAACCTATCAGTCCAGTAGATGTATTCCTCGGACACTGTAATAGAGGAAGGATCCGTCAGAGTGTCCCGGATGATGTATGTGACGTCACTTCCGTCTAGGTTGCTACTACAGATGACGTCAAGTGCTTTGTCACACCAGTATAACCTGTCCTTGTCGTAATCTATGGTCAGACCGCTGGGTTCCCGGGTGAACTCTGTGTGAGACATGATTGTTGTTCTTTCTGAACCATCGAGTCGTGCACGCTCGATTCTGGGTTTTGAACCTTGGTTAGTCCAAAACATGTACCTGGTTGACGAAACAAGCATTAAAGAAATAGACAAACTGCAAGTCACCCAATCTGCATTGGAATTTGTAGATCAAATTTCAAGACTCCTATTCAATCGTCTGCGTGTACGATATACAAAACTGTTACAATCCATAAACGTGTTTTTGAAACGCGCTTTGGAGAGTTTCGGCCATCACTTTTGACAGGTAAAAATAATTTAGGACATTGGTTTATAGATGGTAACGTTTGAATAGTGTATGCCTTGGAATGGAATTTTTTAAAAACTCAGGAATACTAATTTTAGCTATAAAAAAAAGTCTCATTAAATGCTTTCTTTAAATGTAATTTGTAAATATCACAGCTATAAAATCACAAGAATTGGAAAAATACAGAATAGCAATTGTCACATTGTCTCATCAAGTTACCCATTTGATTATACCTATGTTTTATCTTAAAAATTAAATTGGCATGCAGCAGGGTTTTCCAACTAAAATAAAATGCCATTAGCTGATTCAGCAACTTCTGTTTCCCTTACCCCAGGACTGGATGCACCACAATATCAGCTGGACTGTCCAGGTCAGATGCCACCAACACACGTCTGAATGACCCATTTAGTTTGGACACTTGGATTAAGTCAAGGTCACTGTCGGTCCAGTACAGGTTTTCTGGTATTGAAGAACTTTGTTTATATATATATATATATATATATATATATATATATATATATATATATATATATACTGAAGTATACCTTGAAAATCTGTTCTTAGATATTTTAGCCCTACTCACGTTGTGGTCAATACAGATTTTCTGATAAAAAAAAAAAAAAAAAAATATATATATATATATATATATATATATATATATATATATATATATATATATATAAAATAAAACATTGTATTGAGAAGACACCAGTTGCTTGTTTAAGTACTGCAGATAGCATTACCAGGCCTACCCAACTGCCAGACTCGGCACCGAATGATCCCGAATTCACCGGTAGATCGGACCACACTACCCGTTTTCAAGGTGTTAGTCAGTCCGCATTACACAGTATCATACCCCGAACAAATTTTGAGTCGTGATGCATTACTTTTCAACTCCGCTGAGAATCGTTACAATCATATCGCGTACTAGGAAAGAGCGGTGTCGCATCTGATACTGTGTAATGCGTACTGATACACACCTTGGGAACGGGTAGTGTGGTCTGATCTACCGGTGAATTCGGGATCATTCGGTCCAGAGTCTGGTAGTTGGGTAGGCCTGATTACAGGTTTTCCGTTTTAAGACAAGAATTACATATACATTGTAAGAAAGTGGACTCGGTCTTATGTTTTTTAAACTGAGAACTTTCTTATTGAGATCTACATGTAAATTTACCTGCTATCCAATCCACAGACAATCCCTGCACTGAGCTGATTTCACCGGAAACTAGTGTCTGCATCTCCTTCCGGTCTCGATGGATTCTGGAGATGGTCTTGGAGCTGCTGTCCGCCCAGTATATGAACCTATTAGCTGAGGTATTATAATAAAAATGAAAATAATAAAAAATATCAAAATGATGTGCGACTTCCACTGTCTCTCAAATGAACCTCATGTTTTTTTTTTCTTCTCTCTTTTTCAATTTGTTAAAGATATAAAGTTTCTATTATCAACCCTATTTCAATCTAGTAAACATTAGTGTGCAACATAAATCACTTAAAGGGATAATAACTCTTCGTTTCTGCCAAAAAATGAATTTTCCTGGAGTAAACAACAATTTTCCCATACTTACCAATGGTTAATGAATCCATTTTTATATTCAAAGTTAGTCCCTGGTTTTTTTCTAAAAAGTTTGGTTTTTTGTTAAAATCTCTTAAGAGATTTTAACAGAGTATAGCCATCAATGGAGGTCACGTGGTCTAAAGACAAGCTCAGATATCAGAAAAAATAGCTATAACTGCTGTTCTTGTGGTAAAACAGAATATATTATATTTCTATGAGTTATTCACAATGTTTTTATTGTGAAATATAGATCTCATACGAAGAGTTATTGTCCCTTTAAAGTCTTTTGGTCGTAACTGATGTTTTGTAAACCAATTAATCTGGCTAACTTTTGAAACCAATGAGGGATTTTTTAAATCAAATATCCAAATGTAGTATACTTTCAACCATACAATGTCACTTTTTATCAAACATTTTACCTGCATGGAAATCCACAACAGCCGCTGCGGTCTGCATGTCTGTCGTCTGCTGTGAGTTGATATCAGCGTTCAGAGAGATTCCGAGGATCTCTGCCCCCAAGGAGAGTGACAGGGAGGGTTCGGGATCTGGAAATGATGAAATAATTATTGAAACAATAAAAGGGGGCAATAATATTTAATCTTAACACGTCGATAAATACTGGGAAATATATGTTTAACTTAATGTGTTAGGTGTTAATACATACTTAATGTGTGTTATGTGTTTTATGTGTTTGTTTGTACATCTTCAAAATAGGCATTGGTGATTTGATGTGATATTTTTGTCAATTAAATTTGACCTAATACTTTACTCATTCATTTTTAAACCACACCGAAAACGAATTAAAATGAAAATGGACACTAATGATAATAAATGGGATAAATATGCAACAGTGAACTAATAACAGTCTGTTAAGGAACCACCAAAAAATTTTATAATCTTTCATAACATTGATTATATTTTTCACTTGTCGTTTCTGTTAGTACAAACATTGGACATCTTACCCAAACAAAGCTTAAGTACAGAGAACAGCTTATTAAATTTATTCTCAGCACTGCCCATGTGTCAAAATAGTCCATTTTTAAAAAACAATTATACACCTACCTTCTTGAGAATCCGCGGTTGCTGGCATACCAAAGCTATAGATGGGCGTGGTCGTCGTCCGGTTTGGGGCGGAGCTTGCATTCAGAGAGATGCCGTGGATGTTAGCTCCCAGTGTGATTAACAGGAACGGTTTCATATCTAAGGAATGGAAGGACACGCATTTTACTATTGACGAAGCGGTGCAATGATACTATCGATTGGAATTCGAATAGCACTTTTTTATTTACAATTTAAGAAATCTATTAATTTTAAAACGTAATATTTTTTTAGAATAAACATGCAGTAATGGCGACATATAATGTTGATATACTCCTATCAGAGCTATAAACAGTCATTGACATTATGCATGTTTTTTTTTTTTTTTTTTTAATCATAAAAGCAACTGAGTACATGAACTCCATAACAAACACATCCGTATTTTCAATCTAGGTATCTGTTTCCATGACAAAACCAAACTCACAACAAGACAAAGTGATAATGGATGCCGCCCACCCTGTTCAATCAATACTATTGATAAAGCCCACTCACCAAGGCAGGTTTTGCCGTCCTCTCCAAGCTTAAAACCGTCTGTACAGAGACATACAGCGTTGTTGTTGTTGTTGTTGCCAGGGACGCACACCTGGGAGCAGCCGCCATTGTTCTCACTACACGCGTTCTTACCGAGATCTGGATAGAAGGAATTTGATAATATTAGACGGGTCATGAACTTAAGTTTAAATTTTAATAGTTTACGCAATGTATTGACATTTTGATTTTTTCGTTGTCTGATTGTGTAAAGCTGGAGCTTATTAGACTCTTTAACAAGCACAATTATACTAATTATACTATTTTATGTTACTTTTATCCTGGTTTTTACTTGGGAAAATTGGTTATTTTAGCCATAGGCCTAGATGACAAGTAGTAAATTTTATATTTTTGCTTGCATGAACAGAACATTAAATTAAAATAATCTTATTTCAGTTGATCACAAATTAGTCTAGCCTTATTGCATATAAGTAATTCAAATTTATTCAGAACTACAAAAAGGATAAAAGTAGAATCGAAACTCACTAGATTTCTGCTTCCCTTCAAAGATCTTAACAGACGTTACATCGTCTGTGCCTTCTCGCAGGATCTCCACTCTGACGTCACCTCCGGTCCTGTGAACCAGAGCAATGGACGACCCTGTGGCCACGTAGAGCTGACCCTGGTGGACAGCTAGTGTTCTGACGTCACTCAAACTGTGATCAAATGACACCATGTGGGAGTCAGAACCGTCAAAGTTGCACCAGGTAATCCGGCGAGTGCCAGAGTTCAGACCCTGGCTTATAAAGTACAGCTTCTCGTTGTCTACGTCTATTGTCAAACCTGGATCAAATAACATCTTATTCTAATTACCAAATATCTGTTACATTGCTTTGATCATTTAAGTTGATAGATGTGTGTTTATTTCAGTGCCTAGTGCAAATAAAGAGTGTATATGTAATGCTTCTTTAAGTTACAGTGCCGCATGATGCTTGAATAAATAGAACATTAAATTCTCAATGTTTTGAAAGTCTATAACCATTACAATTTGACAACATACATGGATCCCTGCTCTACAAGGTGGTGCGGGGAGGTAGAAAACCTGTTTTCCGAGAACAATTGACGCTAATCAGATACCCCCTCATTAAAAAAGCTGAAGGCTTCACAACCATTAGAGATACGACACAGAAGGACATCATCTAAGATCTACGTATAATTCTTACTGTAGAGTTTGAAGGCAGAATCGACGTGGGTCAGGCTGTCGGGAACAAACTGCTGGACATTGCTGCCGTCCATATTGGCAACAAATACGACCTGGGCATTGGTGCCATCCTCCGTCCAGAAGATTTTACTGAAAACCCACAGTGAAGTGAATCTGATTTGTAAATGATTTTTATTGAAACGGAACATTGGTATTGGGAGAGCAAAATAAACAGCTACATCAATCATCAAATTTATCTCTTCCGCAGATTGCTATTATGTATTTCATTCCAAGTTCCAATACCTGAAATTATATAACTTGGAATTTCAAATAATACATCACAATTGTTGACAACAGTAATGAGCTGATATATGGAAATATACAATGTAGGTTGTCCAAACAGTTTAAACAACCATATACATGAACAAGAGAACAAAACAACAACAACAACAACAACAACAACAATAATAATAATAATAATAATACCATTTAAAACGTACCCTTTATTTGGATGGATAGCTAGTGATGTGATCGGCTTTCTATCATATACCACTTTCAGTCTTTGCCTGCCGTCCAGCCTAGATACCCATATACTGCCCACACCTTCCCTGGTGGTGCTAAAGTACATATTACCAGACACATAGTCCACAGCTAAACCACTGGGGTTGTCCAGATCTGGTGAAAACAGTGATGAATTCTGATACAGTGTGGTCCTTCAAAACAATTAATAAATAAAGTATTCAAACAGTGTCATTGCAGTCACAGTACTTCAAAACAAGCTATTTTTAAAATGTTCTGGGGCAGCATGCTGTGGTACGTCAGTTCATTTTAACATAGCAATGTCAAATTATAAATGTGTTGTTCTTCCCTTGCTCTCAAAATGTTATAGATATTATTTTTATGTGAACGTAGCGGTATAAACTTAATTCAGTTTTAGTGGTGTTTTTCGGTGAAATGCTAGTACTTTCCCCAAGTATGTATGTCAAGAACTACATTGCCACCCTCTAGCCATATGTGCTTAGACGACATCTCGCTGACTCTCGAGGTGTTCTGGCATATATGCTAGGGGTGCCGGTGTAACGAAACTGAGGGTCCGTGTTACACACAGTCAACCCTCCCTTTAGTTATAATGGTTAGAGTTAGCCTGACCTAAGTGGATCAAAATCTAGGGCGAGGCTTACTTGTATACGAACAAATAAATGAGAAGCGTTACACGGGTCACGTTACACTGGTGTACCTGGAATGGACGTTCGGGCTCCCATAAGATAAGTAAAGGCAGGGGCGGGTCCGGGGATTATTTCAAGGAGGGGGGGGGGTCCCCAAATGCAAGCCCCCCACCCCACCCCCCACCCCACCCCCCACCCCCCGCTTGACGTGGGGTTCGGGGCCGCTTGAGGGCCCGGAAATCTTTGGTCTTTAAAAGAGGGTCAGGACCCCTCTGATCCCCCTCTAAAGCCGCCACTGAGTACAGGTTAGTTGGAGTATTTGGGTTAGTATATGGGACGAATGTCACCTGTACAAAGTAATGGGAAGTGAAGCACGGTACCTAGCGGACTTCATTCCCGTTACACCGCCTACCAAACCAAAAGGCAAAGACCAGTTAGACATTACCTGTGTCCACGACCGTTTCAATATCTGTGCCGTTATTACGAGCTCTTTTGATGGTGCCATGACGGCTGTCGGTCCAGTAATACATGCCGGACACAGGGTCGATGTCCATCGCTTTAGGGATCTCCACGTGAGGGGATGACATGGTCGGCATGGCGTTAAAGTCGGTGTTGTTGAAGTCCACTCCACGGATTTCATAGTAACGTGCGTAGAGCAGGAATGTACTGTTGACTGAAAGAGGAGAACAATGGACAAGCAGTCTTTGGGCTGGTCAAACTAATGACAAGACTGAACCTCAACCAGTTTGGAGGTAATTAGAGACTGTAAGCAGGGGCGGATACAGATATATTTTCTGACAATCTTCCAAATTGTCTTTGTTGATCCATCTTCCAATTTATACCATCTTCCGGCAGAAAAAAATAGATACCCGTAAATGTTAATTTGAAAATCTGACCGTCCTTTGGAAGATCCAGAAGACGGACTCCATCCACCCCTGACAAGCTGGCTTTAGCTAGCATGGATCTCGTAAGAACAAAACTACAAAATGACCTAAACAAATTATATTCACAATCACAGTTTACTTACGGGCGCATGTTTTCCTGTCTGTCAGTAAGACGTGGAAGTAAGGACATTTGCAGTCCGCTGTGCCATTGAAACCCAGCAGGCAGAGGTGAGAACAGCCGCCGTTGTTTTCACCACACGGGTTCTTCACTGAATAACATAATCAGGTCAAATATTTACTTAAGAAAAGCTAAAATTCCAGTAGACTGGGATTTAAAAAAAAAACATACAGACATCAAACGGCGTTTGGCGTTAAATTCCGGACTAAAAGACTAACTCTTTAACTCTTTAACAATATTTCCAGCTATATAGGTAAATAAATGAAACGAGCATTAAATTAATACGATAATTGAATATATCTCTAATCATAACAATTAGTTTTCTGTTGTTTTCTTTTATTAAGACATATGTGCGACTTTAATAATGAGACAACCCCTTACTCTGGGACTGCCTCTTAGAGTGGTAGACTTTAAGGTCAAAGGGCTGTGCATACGTTCTCTGGACTACACGGACGCTGCTGCCATTAAATTTATTTGCCTTAAAAGAGAGGTAACACATATACGCATATCTCACCATATGCCAAAGTCCCCATAGAGAAGACGCATCTCAGCGCAAAAATGACGTACAAATAAAAATATATATATGTAAAATATATAGAAAGCGACATGTTTCTCAACGAAATATAGTACATGTATTAATCAACTTTTTTCAAAACTGCAATGTACACCTCACCATATGCCGAAGTCCCCACGAAATAAGCAAATAATTACATATATACAGAATACATACAAATATGTAAAAGCGAGATGTTTCCCAACAATATATACATATTAGCAACGATTTCCAACACTGCCACAATTATGAACATTTCTACACAACGTTTTTCAAGAACTACCTCCATGAGAGAGTTGGTTTTCCAGTCTGTCCAGTACACATTGGAGCCAAACACAGCAATGGCGAAGGGATGAGAGAGCAGACGATGGTTCCTCAACACGACCCTGTAGTCGCTGCCGTCATACCGCACAGTGCTGATGGTGTCAGACCTGGTCAAAGGAACGGTTTGACAGTTATGTTATTACTTTGATGCCCATCTTTGCACATCTTTATAATTAAAATTAGATTTTAAGACCTAAGAACATATCTTATTTTTTAATATATAGTGTACTACCCATGCCTTGTATTAATACGTGTATCAATACATGAATTGCACTAGTTTCGATCATAATTCTAATTTACCAAACGGAAAGATGAATTGATTTCATCGCACCGCTGTGTGCGCAACAAGTATTTTTACGTTCGCTTGTCATAATCGTGGCTTGAATGGTCAATTTGGCGATAGCGTTTTTCCGTTTACAAGGCCTGCTATATAACATTTGTTTGCATAGCTGTTTTGCTGACATGTTGGACTCTCTGAACTCGACCTCAAATAGCCTGTAGTCCTATCAGTTTCAGTAACCAGATGCCTTGCATTCAACCGTTCAAGGTCGTCCACTTTTTATCTATGTGTCTGCAAATTCCATTCCAGTATGCATGTTGGTTCTTATGAGGATTTTTCACTTCTCAGGCAATAAACTCAAAAATGGAAAAGCAGCCAGTTTGAGTTACGTGTTACAGTTTTTAGTTTCTAAGATTCGGGTCAAAATGATTTGTGACAAACTATCTCCTATGGCAATGGTGGGTCTGTGGAAACTTGTGAAAAATTGCTCAGTGACAAGCACTGCCTTTTGTGGCATTCATTAAGTCCATTCTCAGCGCAGGTCACGTGACGTATATTCTGAATTATCCTAGTGTGTGTGTGTGTGTGTGTGTGTGTGTGTGTGTGTGTGTAGCCACACGTATAGCAGCGCAACATGTCTATACCTGGCATCCACCCAGTAAACTCTCCTGAGGTCATAGTCCAGGGTCAGTCCATTTGGCCACGCCCCTTCACTGTCTATCAAAGTGATGTTGACCACGACTGTCCGACCATGTCCACTCATAGAGCAGCTCTCAATACGAGGCTTGTCCTTCTCCCAGTCCGTCCAGAACAACAGACTGGAATGTTTGAATGGCATTGATTGTCAATAATAATAATAATAATAATAATAATAATAATAATAATCAAACAGTCAAACAGTACAGGAATTATAGGTCTTTATCGCATATTACATATGGTTATTAAAGATGCATACAAAGTCAATTTTTTGTCACAAAAACCAACCAAATGCCAGCATATAGTTTCAAGTAGTATAACTAAGAGAATTAACAAAAGGCATTGTTTAATTTTACCCGAAAATTATGTTTGAATGGATTTTTCTGCTAGCATTCTATGCTGTATGTCAATGGGGCAGAAAAGTAGGTCATGAAAGTAGGCTAAATTTCCGACCAAAAATTTAAAGAAAGGAGCAATCTAAAGCTCTTTTATGGCTGATCGAGTGATGTATTCAGTTTATCCCTTGGCATGGCGAATTTATTTGAGTCGTATAAGAAACTAGTAGAAGTGGTTTACATGTGTTTATGGGAATCCACGCTCCACCGATGCTCCTTGTACCTTTAAATATCTTAAATCAGATATTTCTTATTATATCTAATTAATTGCAAATGATCTTTCGACAGGGGACGTATTTTATTTCAATACAACATTTATTGCATAAAATTATTATAAAATAATTAAATTCAAAGTCATTTTACATATCACCAGCTTACCCAACACTTGGATCTACAGCAATGGCTCTCGGATGCCCAATGTTCCCAGCTACAAGTGTAGACCTGAGCTTCCCTTGCATGGTGGCGACCTCTATCTGGCGTTGATTGCTGTCTATCCAGTAGATGTTCTCTCCTACCCAGTCGACAGCGATGCCCTCTGGCGTTATCAGGCCAACACTAACGACTTCTTGGATATCGGTTACGTCTGAAATCAGATGGAGGGTGTTTTACATGGAGTCTTGAAGTTTGTACCATTTACAACAACATCAGGAACAGCAACAGCAGTAGCAGCATCACCATCAATATCATTATCAGCAACAACAACAACAACAACAACAACAATAATAATAATAATATTTATAATAATAATTTGACTATCCTATAACAATACCGGGTCGCCACATTAACGATATTGGTTGGCATAAGTAAAAGCATTCGAAATTCTAGGAGTTCTTGCAGAAAAACAACTAAAATTAGTCAATTCTTTAAGTAATGCTTTTATACTTGCCTTTTAAAGATGCATAAGAGCGAGTAAGCTAGTCAAACAATTGCTTCTCAGTCTGACAGATATCATCATATATTAAAAAAGTATACATAATAAAGATACCACAGGGCTTCGCTTTTCATTTCCATACAATTATATCTGAGCAGATTTCATCTGTGTACTTTCTGCACTATATATATAACCCTCTCTCGTATGTAATATATTCACCAAGTCTCATTTGAATTATGATGCGCGCGCAGCAGTAATACCTTCTACATTACCACGTCATTTGGCGGACTTTTTACGAACTGGCAAGACGAACTAACAGGACACTTTTACAACCAGCAATTTCTAGAGGGTGCAGTGTAAGAGCACTATTTTGGCTGACTAAGTGACCATTTTGGTTTTAGTCTTTTGGCATGATCTTATAAGAGTTGTGTAAGAAATTGGCAGATGTAATTTGTATACCCTACAGGGATTCAGCTCTCGCTTTGCATGTATCTTAAATATCCAGCATCACGCTTGATTGCTTATATAACACTGAAAGCACGAGGCTGCCACGCACTTACGGTTGGTGTCCATGACTCCTCTGTATATCTTATCCTGCATGACGTCTGACCAGAAAATGGTGCTGTTCTTATCGTAGTAATCCAGGGACACAGTGTTTCTGAGTCTGTCCAGAGCAACAGAGGCCTGTCCATCCAAGTCCACCAGTCTTATCTCATGACGGATCGTATACAATATATACGGTATTTCCGTACCTGCAGTGTTTAAAGTATAATATATGACAGATATATCAGTATTGAAAAATTTATACGCTTTGCATACAGGCAACAGTGGAAAGTAAGACTTATCCGGTGCGACGATATTTATTTCTTTATTTGCCAGATGTTGCTACTTGTGACTATTTCCCTTTCATTTAACCCACGGAGGACATCAAAAGAACTTGCTGAAAGGGAACAATGTAGTTTGTTGTTTGGAATTGATACATCCTTTGCGGCATCGAAAATAAAGCTGATGTCAATTTAAAAATAATAAACTCTGTTTAAATATCAAACCACCAAAATAGGACTAGGATGACTGTAAATGTGGTATTGGATATGCTTTTTTTTTTTTCAGTATTGATCGAACCACCCTCACACGTTGACACAACTGATGATTAATATTCCATGAGAACCATATTAAAAAAAGAGAGAGAGAAAAAAAAAACAATTCCGCACTACCTTCTGGCTTGCAAGTCCAGCCATCCGGGTCCAGAATGTAACCATGGTAACAAGAGCACGTGTAGCCAAGTTCTGACTGTGAGCACTTCTGGCTGCAGACACCCCACAGATCACATGGCGAGACATCTAAAATGAGATACAGGCAACGATCTAAATAGAACAATAATAAAAACAATTTTTCATATTTATTTAAAGTCTAAAATCATTAAAAGTTCAGCAGATTTTACAATGTGAAATGTAAAATAACCCATAACTCATCATTCATATCCTCTTAGTATTGATGGAATTTTACGGATGTCCTCAAAATTTGTAACTGATTTTTTTTTTCAGAGTTGTGTTTTTGTTATTATTTTTTATGCCTTTTCACCAGGTACGACAGAAATATTGAATATACGACTAGAAGATTAAATGATGCGATATCCTATAGAACTACACTCTCTCTTCTCACTGGCATGTTCCCGCTCAGAGTCAAACTATGGCAGATCTGCTTTATGGAGGGGCCTGTTGGAGGGGGGGGGTGATTATAATTAACAGGAAATAAATTCGTTAATTCGTGGATCACAGGAAATAAAACTTCTCGTGGAAAATTTAGGACAAATGAGTTGGAAATCATGAATAATCGAGTATAATGACTTCATTTAACGGACAACGAGGGATAATTTTTAGAAAATATATAAACGGGGTACGGTGCGAGGTACTTCAAGGATCTCGCTAAATGAATATGAACATTTTTCGCATCTCGGGAAAAGGAAAATAACTTTCGCGGGGACAAAAAATCCGGATGTGCTCCTCTTTATTAATCCCCCCTAGTTTTCTTCCAACCGGATTCAGTAATGGCAACAATTATAGCGTGCCTGGGCACTTTTTTTTAAATAATATATATGTGTACTTCATGAGTCAGGCCGTATACAATGTAGGGGGGGTTACATGGAACAGGGTTGGGTCTTTTGCTAGAAAAACGCCTTTTTGGCCAGAAAAAAAATCATCTCAGGAGTCAAAATTTGATGTTGGTTCAATGTCATGTCGCAACCTGAGAGAACAAAGCGGGTACAAGTAAAAAATGTTTATTTTTTTCTCTACAGACCAGTTTGTTTATTATATGTCAGGATATAGAGGTACAGTAAAGTGGCTATCAGTTAGTTTTAGTTGTCAAAAAATAATTACTTAAGAAACAACATGTATGTGAGATATATATTTGACCTTGTATGAACTGCGTTGTTCTAAGTTTTCACCACCACAATGAATCGTACGTAATATCAGTACATTTTAAATAGATACAACTATTTAATACAGACTTACCTGTGAAGACTGAGCCAGCGGCAACGAGCAGTATCCACGCTGCTAAAAGACGCATGATTTTCGACTGGCCCCGGCACGAGTTAGTTTTCTTATTTTCTTAGGGTGGCTGCCTTTATATACAGTGGTTTTACCCGTAAACTCTTGCACAACAGGACAAAGTCCACTCCGACAAATCAGAGATACATGTATAGGCCTGTACACAAGAAACTACCAAAATAAGTCTTGTGTCACACTCACATGTGTTGTTAATTTTCTGTATGTCCTGGTTGCCACTGTTACTGCACTTGGAGTGTAAAACAAACCGCGAAGCTTTTAAAAGGAGATCACTTTAACGGGGTTTCTGGGTCAATTGCCCTAAAAACGCCTCCGTAAAGTGAAAATGAATGTTTAGGGGAATCGGTTTATAAACAAGTCAAGGCCTTAGCCCCTGGAATAAGGTGATTGTATTTCGCAATGGTTGCCCTCCTGCTGACATGCGCTGTCAAATGATTTCAAGATGTGTAGGCCTACCGTATTGTATACATACAGCAATGGTGAAACTCTACTTCTTAATGAAATAACCAAGTTTAGCCATTCTCTCTCTCCCTCTCTCTCTCTCTCTCTCTCTCTCTCTTTCTCTCTTTCTCTCTCTCTGCCTGCCTGTCTGTCTGACTGTTGGCTGTTATGTGTGTGCGTGCGTGAATGCGTGCGTGTGTGTGTATGTGTGTGTGTGGTTGTGTGAGTGGGATACGGGTTCCTTAGATAGGTGACACCAGTGGCGGATTTAGAAGGGGGGGGGCAGGGTGGTCCTGACCCCCCTTCGGTTTATAAAAAAATCACACTAATATTCCCCTCTTGGAAGTAGTATTTTGAATAGCTGATTTATAGGGCTGAACCGTACCAAATGACAGCGTTCGTCCTCCAAAACACTTTCAGCGGGCCCTGAACCCCACACCAACCCGGTGTGTGTGTGTGTGTGTGGGGGGGGGGGGGGGGGAAGGGGGGGGCTTTGCATCCGGGGGCCCCCCCCCTTCAAATAATCCTGGTCCCCCCCC